CTTTTTCATATTAAATAAACGTGTTTAAATTTCCAAAGTGTATTTATATTAACCGTACGTACATAACAACATCTTTTCTTGATTTAATTTTGTTTCATTTAATTTTAAAATTTAAATTTTATTTAATTATTTTGTTTTGTTTCCTTTTATTTATTTATTTATTTAATGGAAAAGTCTTTTATTTTTCTTTAGTTTTGTTTTTTTAAGGGTTGATGAAAAACAATAACAGTTTATTTGGACTGCATTGACTCAACCCTTTTTGATGATGTGCTTGTTGAATAGCTACTTCTGCATTTTTGTTGTTCTTTTTATGTATATAATAAGGTTAAAGCTATTCTGTTTTGAATTGTATTATTTTGATTATTATTGTGCTTCATCATCAATAAACATATATTATTATCATTAGTACTCGCGATCGGCGTATATTGGTTTTGGGTCACTGAATTTAACTTGCGGTAATCTATGCACATTCGTTCGCCACCTGTCTTTTTGCTCACTAAAATCACTGGACTCGCGTAATTCAGAATTTGATTCCTGAAGTATTCCAGCACGTAATAAGTCATCTACGGTTTTCTTCACTATCTCACATTGCGAATACACCAGTCTATACGGTCGGCACATCACTGGTTCGTAGGTTGTGAGTTTGATGTCCATCGCGGTTAAGTTAGTTAGTCCAATTTCATCGAAATTATTCGCGAAACTCTTTTTATTTTTAAACAATTGTGTTTTCAGTTCAGCTTTTTCGTCACTTTTAAGGCTTGCGTTAATGCAGATTTCGTCTTCGGATATTGTTTCCGTGATATGGTCATCGTTGGGGATTTCGTTCTCATCGGGTGTTGTATTCATTTTGGTTCTGTCGTTCGATTTCTTCTTGTTCTCTTTCTGCTTGCTCTTCTTCCTCCTCTTCCATATCATTTCGTTCTTCCTTTTGTTCGATCTCTCCTCGTTCTTCTTCTTCATGTAAATCAGGTGTAGTATTTTCTCGTTCAATCCTGGCAACTCTTTGTATGGTTAAGGTATTTTCTTCTTTAGTCACCTTTATTCCGGGTTGATCAAGTGCACTTCTTCCAATAATCATCACGTCTTCCTAGGCTTCGTCTGGCACAATAAAAAATTTCCACTTCAATACGGGCATTATCCACCTCTAGGACTGATATTCGACGGCCTAGTGTCTAACATTTTCCTTCTCAAAATCCTTTTAAACCAACTCTGTGGAGTATGTACGGAATTTTTAGCTCATCTGAGCATGATTTTCTTACTGTTACGATATCACTTCCTAAGTCGATGAAAGCTACGACCTCCATTAATTTTCGTATATTTATGATATTCGTCCTTCAGTGGCTGTAAAACACCAATTTTGTTTACATTTTGAGGGGTTGCGTGATCTCCTTTTGTTCTATTTGGTGGACAATTCTTAGCTATATGTCCTGTATGTTCACAGGTGAAACATCTTTGTCTACGTTGTGGTTTAGAACAATTTTTAGAAATATGGCCAATTTCCTGGCAATTGTAACATTTATCAACCGTACGATCCTTCGAAATCGAGGATGTTTGATCAGATCTTATATTCTTTTAATTCCCTCTAATAGATCGGTAACATCATATATTGCGTTTATAGCCAACATTCTTCCCAAATTGCGATCTTGTATAAGCTTTGTTCGCTTAATAAGCAATATTCAATAAAATGAATATCGGAATCATAGGTTAAAATAGGAAAACCTTTCAATAATTCTCGAGATATTATGATTCAATTTTCGGTCCATTTCATACCCACGAATGAGATTTAAATTATCGTGTGTCGTTAAGATAAGTGAAAACTGTGTATTAAAACCGATCGAAATGAAGAGTGGAAACAAATTGTGCGACTTGAAGAAAAGCTGTCCCGATTAACGCTAGCTAGTGAAGAAAAGAACATTTTACAGCGTGGTTAATCAATGGTCGGTAAGTGAACCAGCCCTGCCCCATAAAAAATCGTATTGAATGCTACTGCACATAACACATAGTTTAGCAGCCTCATTTAACTTCGAAATAGCTTGATAAAGTAGCGTACGATCATCCCATTTGAATAAAATAATTGTGGCGTCGTTAATCCTGTAGATTTTCCTAGGATAAATTCTGGCAAAACACGTTGTGACGCATTGTACTGCTTCACTGCGCGTTGTTCAAATTCAAACCGCTGCCGCTGTCCAACCACTCTCTCTCTAAAAGTTGCGGCTAAAACATCAAATTGTGTCTTTACCACCGTCCATTTTTACGTTTTCATCCGTTTCGTCTATCGAACTTCGTTTATCAGTCATCTCCCGTATACGTTCTGTTTTAATCGTCTTTTCCGCACTAATTTGAGCTATCGCACCGCTGCACTATTAGGTTTTTAAGACATAAAAGTCATTCACGTTTCATTTGAAACATTTAATGAACTATCTATAATACTGTCAATACAATACGTGGTAAAACGGTAAAAACACCGCTGCGCCGCGCGACATGTTACAACTCGTCTATCATTAAAACCCAACTGCCCACGTGGCTCCGATTTGTTAGACTTGTTAGAGCCAGAAATAAATGTAGATGGCGCCGGATGTCGAAACCGTTAACATGTTGTGTTTTAGAACATTTATTTTGTAAGCTAAGATGCTACAGCTAAGTAAAGTTGTGGAATGAAACCTATTTTCTTCGTATTCTGTTGTGTTCTAAATGTGTTTGTCTACATAAATTATTTTTAAGCATTAAAACCACAGTGCTTTTAACAATTATTTTCTTAATACTGTATAAAAAGAATACGACATTCGCAAAATCTGGAAAACGTAAGTTTAATTTAGTATAATCTTTAAGTAAGTAAAATAACTTACCTTAACTAAAAGTGGTAAAGATAATTCAACAAATTTCGAAGCGGTGAAAACAACTGGATTGTTCATTCGTAATATATTTATAATCATCATACTTTTCAATGATTTACTCACCGAAAACCATTCATTTTGGTAAATAGCAAACGGTATCTCTGAAAACTAAATAACAAAGTGTCTCAATCTTGTATCAGTTTAAGTTAATCATTTTGATATTTACAGCCATAGATGTATTTTGAGCAAAAATGCAGTAAATCGAGAGTTGGGTCGCCAAAGCAAAATAAACTTGGAGTTGAACGAAAAACGCCGCGCTATAAGCTTCAAGCTAAAATATTACAATAATTAATAACTAAATTATAATCTAAAAGATAAAGCGAGAATTTAAAAACTTACATTTGTTGTTATAAATAGGGAACACATTAAATTAAATAGAGAAAATATAACTTGTACAAAAACGATGTGTTGAAAAATACTTTCAATGTCGCTTGAAATTCTACCAAAATCAAGAAAAATATAAGCTGTGAAATAAAATTAGATATATAATTTACCTTAATAATCTTTGTAACGACTTTGTTAATTCTTTCATATCAAGATTAATTCTATTTTCCAATTCCGGATTTAATTTGTCGTACAATAAACTGTAATCTCTGGGTAAATCACTATTTCTTAAAGAACGAGCTACATTTGTTGCAAAGAGATCTCGTAGAACTTTAACGTCGATGTATAAATGAAGGAGTAAAATTACAAAAAATGTATCGCAAGCTAAAAAAAGAATGAAAAGAAAATTAATATCCAAAACAAATTTTTTAAAACATAACCCAACCAATTATGAAATTGTATTTGGAAGTAAAAAATGTTTAGTGAGTTAGTTCTCCTGAACTAACAAATATGTTGAATAGCAGAAGAGGGAATGCTGACCCTTGTGGCACTTTTTCTATCGTGGTCCAGATTGTAGAAGGTGATGTTCAACTTTTGAATTGTAGTCCATGATGCCACACCTTGATAACGTCTTGGATAAGTCTAGGAATATTGCCCCAATGTATTTCGAGCGATTAAATCTTTTTGAGATGCACTCAACGATACAAAGGAATTGTAGGATGGTGCAGTGAAGGGGCCGCACTCCAAATTGTTGTTAACATTTAGACAAGATAGGAATTGATTATAAAAATTTATGGATTTAGTTATGTAAGAGTTTAGCCAGAACATTAAAATCTTTAAAATTTGGAACGCGTGTTATATCTCAAATTAAAATCCAAATATTCTTCTTATAAACACCTAGGCTTACATCCTGTGTTTCAAGGGCCTCCTTTCCTGCCTTGACAGCTCTCTAGGCAAATTCCTTTCCTGAAATTACATTAAGGCACGTTTACACTGCGTGTTGAATAATTATACGAAATGGCGGATATAGAGGACGTTTTGAAACGACTTACAGATGGCCTTACAACAATGCATGCACCAAATTCAAACCAACGTACAAATTTCGGGAGAAACAATCCCCAACCGTATGACGAAAACAATGAAGACTTCAACTGTTATTTACAGCGGCTCGATAATAATAATAATAATAATAATACAAAATCATACGAACAGCTGATTAAACTTTTACGAGATTACCTATCCCCACAAGCCAGCATTATCGCTGAACAATACAAATTTAATACACGGTTACAAGGTGAAGACGAATCAATTCAGCGTTATGTGGCTGAATTACGAAAATTAACAATAAATTGCGTATTTACGTGCGAAAAATGTAAGGCTTCTACGAACGAAACGCATCTACGAGCTCAATTTATTCGAGGAGTGAGAGGCGCTGAGATACGCGAAAGATTATTACAACAATAAGATCCGAAATTCGAATATATGGTGCAAATCGCCCAATCAATGGAAATCTCTAGAAAAGAATCTAGTTTAATGCAACCCCAACAAAGTCAAGTAAATGCAATCCGGAAAAATTCTTACAAAAATAGTAAGGTTTCCAAATTACTAGGGAAATGTTTTCGATGTGGAAAAACCAACCACAAAGCAAGGGATTGTCCCTACAAGAATTTAAATTGCTTAAATTGCAAAAAGGAAGGTCATTTACAAGCTGTTTGTATACAAAAAAAAACAAGAAGAAAAGCGATCAAAAGCAAGTTACAGTGGATCAGTAGATACAAATCCTGAAGAAGAAGAAGGGGAGGGTGAGGAACACAATGTGGTGAACTAATTGCAACTAAATTCAATATCCGTGGAGAAGATAATGCTACGAATTCAAATAAATGGAAAAAAATGCGATATGGAATTGGACACTGGTGCTGCGGTTTCTACAATGTCAAATTAACAGTTTAAGAAACTTTGCCCGGGTATACAGTTACAACCAACGAAGGTACAGTTACACACCTACGCTGGCGAAATCATTAAACCGATTGGTAAAACAAAAGTACCAATACAATACAAGAACTATACTACGACTGGTCAAGTTTACATTTTGAAGAAACATGTTGATGCCATATTTGGAAGAAGTTGACTCAAACAAGTGTTTGGGCAACATTAGATGGAAAAAATTCCCACAGATCCAAAAGAAGTACGAGCAATAGATATGCATACAACTTTGAGAGACACTCAAGATGAGTTACAAGAAATATTACAAGAATTTAAGGATGTCCTATCTGACGAATTTGGACGAATTCCGAATTACACTTATAAATACAAATTGAAGAAGGAAGAGACGCAACCAATTTTTCACAAGCCAAGGCAAATGCCATATGCACTTAAACAACAAGTGGAAGAGGAACAACAACGCTTGGAAAAAGCAAGGGTTATAGAGAAGATGGACTACGCTCAGTGGGGTACGGCTGTTGTGCCTGTTCGAAAGAAAAATGGAGAAATCCGTTTGTGTGCCGCTTATAACACCACCATTAATAATGTAATAGAAGAGGATTGTTATCCGATNAATAATGAAAAACAATAACACCTGAGTCCATTAGGTGCATTGACTCGGTTTTCTTTGGTAAACCGCTTATCATTTATGATTTAGTACTTCATTTTTTTTATATATAATTCATTTTTTTTTGTTACTTTTTTTTACCTGATATTTTCTTTTGTAATTGTAAATTGTACTTTTTTTTTTTTGGTTTCACCAATAAATAATATAATAATAATAATATATATTATTATTATATTACTAGTACGCCTTATACTACAACACGTATACAATATTACTTTTGAATTATGTTAAACAATTTACTTTTTGCCCAACTAAATATCGTAAAATAATTATTTTCTCAATTTCAACATATGCTATAATCAAACAATATTACAAAAAAACTAATTCCCGAATTTTCGCTTTCTGTATATTATACAATTATTCTACTTACCACCAGCAATGATAAATTTTTTAAATATGTAAAAAAATGAAAAGAAAAATTTAATTCAAAATCACAATTTTTATCGAGGCTTTATTTACGAGATAACTGTTTACTAAACAATCACTTGACAACTAAAATATTTTAGCGGTGATTGTTACAATAATTATAAATAAGGTGTTTTAAGGCACTTACTTAATCAAATAGCAATAATTACATTTTCAATCTTATTCTTTAAATTTTTCCAATTTTGGCCGAGATTTTTAAAAAATTCGCTTGTGTGCGCTGTCCAACCACTCTCTCTCTAAAAGTTGCGGCTAAAACATCAAATTGTGTCAAAGAAGCACCTGGTAACTCTTTACCACCGTCCATTTTTACGTTTTCATCCGTTTCGTCTATCGAACTTAGTTTATCAGTCATCTCCCGTATACGTTCTGTTTTAATCGTTTTTTCCGCACTAATTTGAGCTATCGCACCGCTGCACTGTTAGGTTTTTAAGATGTAAAAGTCATTCACCTTTCATTTGAAACATTTAGGCCCACTTTTACCACCTCTTGATAAATTCATCTGATAGATAATTACCATGGTTACAGCGGTTTTAAGCGCTCTCATTGGTTAAGAGCGCCAATTTATCTATCGGTTATATCAAGAGGTGGTAAAACGGTAAAAACATCGCTGCGCCGCGCGACACGTTACAACTCGTCTATCATTAAAACCCAACTGCCCACGTGGCTCCGGTTGGTTAGACTTGTTATAGCCAGTAATATATGTAGATGGCGCCGGATGTCGAAACCGTTAACATGTGTTTTAGAACATTTATTTTGTAAGCTAAGATGCTACAGCTAAGTAAAGTTGTGGAATGAAACCTATTTTCTTCGTATTCTGTTGTGTTCTAAATGTGTTTGTCTACATAAATTATTTTTAAGCATTAAAACCACAGTGCTTTTAACAATTATTTTCTTAATACTGTATAAAAAGAATACGACATTCGCAAAATCTGGAAAACGTAAGTTTAATTTAGTATAATCTTTAAGTAAGTAAAATAACTTACCTTAACTAAAAGTGGTAAAGATAATTCAACAAATTTCGAAGCGGTGAAAACAACTGGATTGTTCATTCGTAATATATTTATAATCATCATACTTTTCAATGATTTACTCACCGAAAACCATTCATTTTGGTAAATAGCAAACGGTATCTCTGAAAACTAAATAACAAAGTGTCTCAATCTTGTATCAGTTTAAGTTAATCATTTTGATATTTACAGCCATAGATGTATTTTGAGCAAAAATGCAGTAAATCGAGAGTTGGGTCGCCAAAGCAAAATAAACTTGGAGTTGAACGAAAAACGCCGCGCTATAAGCTTCAAGCTAAAATATTACAATAATTAATAACTAAATTATAATCTAAAAGATAAAGCGAGAATTTAAAATCTTACATTTGTTGTCATAAATAGGCAACACATCAAATTAAATAGGGAAAATATAACTTGTACAAAAGCGATGTGTTGAAAAATACTTTCAATGTCGCTTGAAATTCTGCCAAAATCAAGAAAAATATACCTAAGCTGTGAAATAAAATTAGATATATAATTTACCTTAATAATCTTTGTAACGACTTTGTTAATTCTTTCATATCAAGATTAATTCTATTTTCCAATTCCGGATTTAATTTGTCGTACAATAAACTGTAATCTCTGGGTAAATCACTATTTCTTAAAGAACGAGCTACATTTGTTGCAAAGAGATCTCGTAGAACTTTAACGTCGATGTATAAATGAAGGAGTAAAATTACAAAAAATGTATCGCAAGCTAAAAAAAGAATGAAAAGAAAATTAATATCCAAAACAAATTTTTTAAAACATAACCCAACCAATTATGAAATTGTATTTGGAAGTAAAAAATGTTTAGTGAGTTAGTTCTCCTGAACTAACAAATATGTAGAATAGCAGAAGAGGGAATGCTGACTCTTGTGGCACTTCTTCTATCGTGGTCCAGATTGTCTTGGATAAGTCTAAGAATATTGCCCCAATGTATTTCGAGCGATTAAATCTTTTTGAGATGTACTCAACGAGACAAAGGAATTGTAGGATGGTGCAGTGAAGGGGCCGCACTCCAAATTGTTGTTAACATTTAGACAAGATAGGAATTGATTATAAAAATTTATGGATTTAGTTATGTAAGAGTTTAGCCAGAACATTAAAATCTTTAAAATTTGGAACGCGTGTTATATCTCAAATTAAAATCCAAATATTCTTCTTATAAACACCTAGGCTTACATCCTGTGTTTCAAGGGCCTCCTTTCCTGCCTTGACAGCTCTCTAGGCAAATTCCTTTCCTGAAATTACATTAAGGCACGTTTACACTGCGTGTTGAATAATTATACGAAATGGCGGATATAGAGGACGTTTTGAAACGACTTACAGATGGCCTTACAACAATGCATGCACCAAATTCAAACCAACGTACAAATTTCGGGAGAAACAATCCCCAACCGTATGACGAAAACAATGAAGACTTCAACTGTTATTTACAGCGGCTCGATAATAATAATAATAATAATAATACAAAATCATACGAACAGCTGATTAAACTTTTACGAGATTACCTATCCCCACAAGCCAGCATTATCGCTGAACAATACAAATTTAATACACGGTTACAAGGCGAAGACGAATCAATTCAGTGTTATGTGGCTGAATTACGAAAATTAACAATAAATTGCGAATTTACGTACGAAAAATGTAAGGCTTCTACGAACGAAACGCATCTACGAGCTCAATTTATTCGAGGAGT